TTTTTTCACTTAGCAGAGATTTACCAAGTGTCTATTCACTGTCACAGAGTGTTTAAGGTCTTAGACTGTGCTACGCAGCTTGAGCTGATGTCCTTGGTCTGGCTGTTTATGAACTATGGAACCTCAGGCAAGTTATCTCTGTAGCAGTTTCCTCATCTGCAAAATGTAGTGAAAGTAATAATGAATCCACATCACGGCAGAGCTGAGAGAGTAACTGAATCAGTACAGGCAAAGTGGGTAGCATATGGGACATAGGGTTCACTCACATTCGCTAGTGTTCTTGGATGAGGTGCCTATGCCAGTCCTGAGGTCACTGATAAATCAGACTCAGTCCCTGCCTCCCAGGAGCTGAGATTTGGGGCCGGGGATGCAGATAAAGAATTATGATAAGCATCTTAAGTGTCATAGTAGGGACAACAGGGCACTGAGAGGGCATCTGGGAGGGCAGGATGTTGGAAAAAATGTCACAGCACACTGATCCTTAAGCTGAGGCTCATAAGAGACTCATGTGTACCAGACCAGGGGATACATCAAGCAGAGAGGGTGGGTTCAACCTTTGGGAGCAAAAGGAAGGTGCCCTATATCAGGAAAACAGTTTTTGTTCTCTGAATCAAAACAGTAAAATATTTTTATAAAAAAAGATACTGAAGGACCTGGCGTGGTGATGTACACCCCTTTGACCCCAGCACTCTTGAAGGCTGAGGCAGGAGGGCTAAGTCACTAAATTGCCCAGGCCAGGCTTGAATTTGCGATCCTCCTGCTTTAGCCTCCCAGAGTGCTAGGATTATGGACACGTGCTACGACACCTAGCACAATCTGCCATTTAGGTGTACATTAACCTTCAGTGTTCTGGGTTATAGTGAATCACTTTTGATGAGTACTATTCAACGCATTCACGTGGTTCAGACCTCCGAGTTTTGCAGAGAACTGTAACATCAGTACCTTCCCTTCTCACACACTACAGGCCAAAGGACCACAGTACTATTCTCTATAGGGTAGAGAAATCTCTTTCAAAGGAAAGAGGCAGGGATGAGCAGGCTACAGATCAGCCTGTTGGAGTAGAATGACATGGCCAAGGGAGAGGACAAGGACAAGGGGATCCCTCCCGGTTAGGGACGTGGGGCTGGCATTTAGTCTGGAGAGATAGGAACCAACAAGGGCGCCCCGGGCCAGTAAGGGTTGCGGGGATGGGGGGTGTGGGAGCGTGGGGTGGAGGGTTGTTCTCGATGGCCGGGCGGGTGAGACGCTGGGCCCTTCCTGAGGTTTTAGCAAGATCAGGTGGAGGAGAGGAGACATGGTTAGAAGGCCCGAAGTAGGTTTCTTCAGTTTTTTGGAAGGCAGAAATGCCCCTTCTTAAAGTAGAGCTCTACCCCCCTATTATTATGTTATCCTTCTTTTATTCTTTAAAATAAAAATAAAAATAAAAAAAAAGAAAGATAAATGTGAGGCTTTTATAGGTAAATGGCTGCAACTAGAGACCATACTCATAAGTGAAATAAATCAGAATCACATGTGTATAAAAAAAAAAAAAAAAGTAGAGCTCTAAAAGCTTGCATACTGCACCTACTGGCTGCCAGAATTAGCAACTGAAGTAAGGTGACCAATGTCAGGGAGAGGATGGGGTGCTGCTCTTCCGATCCAATACTCTTTACCCTGCTTCTCAGCCCCTAGTCAAGTAGACATCCCTGGTGCGCACCTCATTAAAGGACCTGAGGCTGGGGACAGCGCATAGCTGGGCTGGACGGGCTTCCCAGAAGCGGGAGACAGGGGCTTAGATCTCCAGGATTTGCATATGAAACACATGCAAAGACTAGATGTACGATGCCACTCCACCGAGGTGACCAGAGGACAGGAGTGAGACGCTGACAAGCTAGGGGTACAAATGCCCAGCTTCCTGCCCAGGCCAGGAGCCAGGTGCTGGGAAGAACAGGACTGGCTTAGAGCAGAAGGAGCTCTTTCTTAGAGATGAGCATGTCGGGCCATTAAAGAGAAGCCATTAGAATATAAAATGCAAAACTTTGAGTTCTCCAGACTCTGGCTCCGGAGGCCTGGGATCTAGGCTCGAAGTAACTGCTGCATAGCCCTGGGCTTCCCCAGAGAGATGAGGGACCCATCTGTGATGTGGATGGCAACCTCCACAGCCCTCCAGTCTCGGGCAGGATGCAGAGCAGTGGGTCTCACCTGCCCTGCAGGGAAGATGAGTTAGCACCGGGCCTGTGGTGATTGCAGAATGTTTACTGTGGGTCCTACGATCCGGCAACTCCACTCCTAGGCATACAAGAGCCCTGGTATTCAAAAAGTTTTGCTCACATTCTCCCTACAAGAATTTGAGGGATTAAAACCAGGTGTGGTGGCTCACACCTGTAAACCCAGGGGAGGCTGAGGCAGGAGGATCATTTAGAGTTTGAGGCCAGCCTCAGATACAAAGTGAGCTCAAGGCCAGCCTGAACTGCATAGCGAGACCCTGTCTCAAAAAGATTAAAAAAAAAAAAAAAGAATTTCAGGGATTTAGTTTTCTTTTGGGTATTTTGAGTTATGCAGAACTTCTGTGTGTGTGTGAGTGAGTGAGAGAGACAGAGAGAGAGCGAGAGAGAGAAGGAGAGAGTGTGGTGCCAGGGATGGAATATAGGGCCTTGTGCATGTGAGGCAAGCACTTTTGCACTGAGCTCATAAGTTCCCAGCTCAAGTTATGTAGAAGTTAACATAAGTAGAACTCTTCACTGTAAGTTTAAATAAACTTGCAAAGACTATAATCTCTAATGTTATCACAATGTCAACACTTTAAATAAATCAGTCACTCTTTTAAATGTCCTGTATCCATAGGAATAGAAATACCGCAGAAACCTGATACAATTATCCACTTACTTAAAGACATATCAATAAATTTTCCTTCAAAAGTTGTGCATTTTATGTTGCTTCATTTTCTCGATTTTATATTTCCATTACACATACTGCTGGGAATATCTCTGTGCACCCTGGACAATCCAGAGATCCCAGAGGAGTTGATCTGTGCCCTCGTCCCTGTCCACTCCCCTTGCCCTGGTTGGCTGAGTTGATTGGGTTTGGTCCAGCTCAGTAATTTTCCAGGAAGATCCCGACCAACTGGGCATTTTCCCAGTCTAGTGACTTGCTGAAATCCAGTCCCCTTTCAGTTCCTTTGTTTATTCATTAAGAAGGTCCTGGCCATACGCAGTGCTACATGCCTGTAATCCCAGCTACTCAGGCAGCTGAAGCAGGTGGATGGCAAGCTTGAGCCCAGCCTGGGCAACTCAGTGAGACACACTTTATTCTGAGTATGTCTCAAAATAAAAAACAAAAAGGGCTGTGGATGTACTTCAGTGTAAGGTCCTGGGTTCAATCCCTACTAATGTGCGTGCGCTCACACACACACACACACACACACAAAGTTTCTGAACCAGGGTCCTAACACATGAGCACAAATACTACTCTCAAAAGATTGCTGCTTATATAGATAACAGTTTCCTATAGTAACAGCTACCTTTATTTTTTCCTCTAATTTTTCATTTTGGCAGGGGCATATGTGCATAGAACACTTTGGTCATTACTTCTTCCCATCACTTCTCGTGCCTGCTAGTTTCACATTTCTGGGTGGTTTTTGTTTTGGTATTTTTTCTTTTTCTTTTCCTTTTTTTTGTCTTTTTGAGGCAGGGTCTCACTTTGCAGTTCAGGCTGGCCTTGAGCTCACTTTGCAGCCCAGGCTGGTCTCAAACTCGCAACCATCCTCCTGCCTCAGCCTCCTGAGTGCTGCGATTACAGGCATGCGCCACCACACCCAGTGTTTTGGATGGCTTAAATGTGAAGTGTACAATATATTTTGCTCATTTATCTTCTTTATTATCACGGAGAGTTTATAATGTTCTGGGCACTGTGCTAAATGTTTTATATACATGATTGCTTTATAGTCCTCACAATGGAGTTAAATCTGTTACATACTCTTAGCCCATTTTCCAACAAAGGCAAACTGTCTTCTGAATCTAAACACCCAGCCCCCTAAACAAGGCGTGGTGGTGCATTCCTGTAACCCCGGTACTCAGGGAGGCAGTGGCAGGAGGAGCATGAGTTTGAGCCCAGCTTGGGCAACCTAGTGGTTTAGTGAGCCCCTCTCTCAAAATAAAAAATAAAAAAGGCTGGGCATGTAGCTCAATGTGAAAGCCCTGGATTCAGTCCCCAGTACAGGGAATGGGGAATCTAGCTCCCTGAATCAGGTTACTTATTCACACCCAGTTTTCCAGATGTAATTGATAACTTTTAAAGTTTTTTTTGTACCAGGAATCGAACTCAGGACCTTGTGCTTGCCAGGCAGTCACTGTGCCACTGAGCTATATCCCCATCATGATAACTTTTTTTAATGCAGTGTCTCACTCTGTAATTCAGACTGGCCTTGAACACACTATGTAACCCAGGCTGGTCTCATACTTGCAGGGATCCTCCTGCTTCAGCCTCCCGAGTGCTGGGATTGCAAGTGTGCGCCACCACACCCCGCTGTAATTGATAACTTTTCAGCCACAGAAGCCACAGGTGGAGAGGTTAAGAGACCTAAAACACCTTTAATTGTGTTGATACCTGTTGAGGAGGGATGGTCAAGACAGTAAATAAGAAAAGAGTAGGGGCTGGGGATTTAGCTCGGCGGCAAAGCGCCTGCCTGGCAAGAGCAAGGTCGTGAGTTCGGTTCTTGGTACCGAAAAACCAAAAAAAAAATAATAATAATAAGAAAAGAGTAGATAGGCATTAGGAAATACCTAAATTCTTCCATCAAATGCTTTGAATCAATACAATCGGAACAGGATCGTAGGTCTACGGAATCGATGGTTTGGGGCCACCAAACGTTTCAGTTCAGTCCCATCAGCAAAATCCGATGTGAAAAAGCAGCCGCTAGGGGGCGCCAGAGCACAGAGGAGGCGGACCCGCCGCAGGAGCCCTGGCGGTGCCGCAGCACAAGCGGACCCAAGGCTGGCTGGGGGTCGTCACTTCTGCCTGCCTGCCGCACCGCTTCCCTTCTGGGGCAGCGGCCAGGCCGCAGGTCGCCTCGGGGCGGTTCAGGGAACAGAGCTGTTATGACGTGAGCGCCATGTGCAATTTCAAAAGTTCTAGTAGCCACTTAGCAAAGATAAAAAAGGAACAGACGGTGTTAATTTTAATATTTTTACTTAACTCCCTATATCCAAAATGTTATCTCAACATGTAGTTAACGTAAAATTTATTCAGCTATCTCGCATTCATTTTTTAGCGCCGTCTTTGAAAGCTGCTGTGCATTTTCTCCGCAGACCCTGCCCCATCTTGGACCGGTCACACTGCGGAGGCTCAGTAGCCACTTGTGTCTGGGAGATGATTTCAGCCAGGTGGGTACCTGCTGCGGGACCGAGGCTTAGGAGGATTCCGGGACCCACGTCCTCCCGGCCCCGCTTGCAGCCTGACCTCCAGCCCCCGCCGCCCAGCGCCTGCCACACGCTGCTAGCTCCACCAGAGCTGCCTCCTGTCCAGCGCCCGGCCTGTCTTTCCTTGCGCCTCTTGCCCTCTGTTGCTTACAGGGCTGAGGCCAAGCTGTTCACACAGGATTCAGGAGCTTCCAGAGTTTAGACGGCTTCAAGTAGGCGCGATGACAGGGAAGGCAGCACTGAGGATAACCAGACCCTTGACACAGTTTCCCAGCGGGGAGGCGGGTCTGAGGAGAGGGAGAAACCGCCTCAGACTCATGAAGCCTGTGTGGATCCCAGTTGTGTGGCTTTCTCTGTGCCTCAGTTTCTTCCTCTGTAAAATGGGGATACTAATACTTGTCCAGTAAGGTTGTTGTGAGTATTAAATGTGAAACGTACATAATTAACTTTTTACAATCTACAATTGCATACTGGCATTTCAACACTTTCAAGGAATCATTGTTGGGCGATATACACAAACTACTGAGAACTGTCTTTGGCTGTGCTGCCAGGAAGGAGGCCTGGTATGGCTCTGGTCAGACGCTTGTCAGCTGAGCTTGGACCGGGCCCTTACAACGTTGCAGCCTGCCGCTTGCAGACAGGTGGAGCCCATCACTCCACTCTCTGCCACCTAGATTGTTTTTTTCATGCTGAAGATTGAATTCAGGGCTTTCACCCTGAGCTATATCTCCAGCTCCCCCATCTTTTTTTTGGTCTTTTTGAGTCAGGGTTTCACTATGCAGTTCAGGCTGGCCTTGAGCTCACTGTGTAGCCCAGGCTGGTTTTGAACTTGCAGTGATACTCCTGCCTCAGCCTCCCGAGTTTTGGGATTATAGGCGTGTGCCACCACACTTGGCTTAGCCCTTTTTATTTTACATTTTGAGACATGTTTTTGCTAAGTTGCTAAATTTTCCAGGCTTGCCAGGCGTGGTGGTGCACACCTGTAATTCCAGCACTCGGGAGGCTGAGGCAGGAGGATTGCTGTGAGTTCAAGGCCAGCCTGGGCTACAAAGTGAGTTGAAGGCCAGCCTGAACTGCACAGCGAGACCCTGTCTTAAAAAAAGACAAAAAACGTTTTCCAGGCTGGGCTTAAACTTTTGATGCTCTTATCTATCATCTGGGAGCACGGGATTACCACCAGATCAGGCTACAATTTTTAAAAATATCATAGCAGAAAAGACTATAAATTTTAAAACTTCAAAACAAGCTCATCGTTTGCTAATAAGGTGCTAACCCTTGTCGAGTGCTTGCCAAGTATCAGCTGTTTTTCTGCTTTTTAAAAAACATGCTTTAAATATTCAGTTCCCATAACAACTTTAAGAAGGACCTTCTCTACTGGACTGGGGAGGAGATAGGTCCCCAGCGAGGAAGGGGCAGGGCTGAGCCGGCTGCAGTGCAGCTGGCTACAGGGTCTCAGCTGGGCTGCAGGCCACCTCTCCAGGACCCAGCCTCCCACATAAAGGGGCTGCGCTGCAGGGGTGCCTGTCAGGGGCGATTTGCCCCCAGCCTGCAGCCCCCTCTCCAGCTTTGGCCCCAGAGTCTGTGCGTGCCTGGTCTCTTTTCCCCACTGGGTTTTTGGGCCTCTGTGTCCATGTGCATGTTGGTCCCTTTCCCCTGAGCACCTTTTAGTACCTTTGACGAGCAGTATCTGTTCCTTCAACCCTGAGCTCTTACCTGGAGGGCTGTCGCCTCTGTGAAGCCCTTTCTGTCCCCCACCCCCACCCAGCTGTCCTGTGTCCTATGCTATGGGCCTGCATTTGCAGACACCAGTCATGTGACATCACCGCGAGTTACCCTTGGATCTGGCTCCTCATACCAGAGTGTCTGCTTCTTTCATGGTGACAAGGGCCAGGCCCAGGCCCAGGCCAGAGCATGTTGGGCTGAGGCTCAATTGCTGGCTCTGCCACCTGACTGTGAGTGTATTAAACAGAGGGCTGAACCCACTGTGTCTCCGATGTGTTGTGAGGGTTTTTGGCAATATGTGTGTGTTCCTGAGACATAGTAGTGTTTTGTTTGTTTGCTTTGAGACAGGGTCTCACTATGTAGCCCAGACTGGCCTCAAACTTACAGTGATCCTCCTGCCTCAGCTTCCCAAGTGCTAGGATTACAGGCGTGCACCACTGTGCCCGGCAGTAGTTGTTTCATAAGTGATGTTTTCTTATTATCAAATACAATGACTGTTTTTCTCTGAATTAATAACAGAGTAGTTTCTTTTTAATCATAACATGACAATCAGTAAACTGATATGGAAAACAATTAAGTAATAATCTTAGAAAATATTTTAAACTGAGCACTCTAGTGTGTGCTTGTAAAATTGGTAACTCAGGAGGCTGAGGCAAGAGGATGGCAAGTTCGAGGCTAACCTGGGTAATTTAGCGAAACCCTGTTGCAAAAAAAAAAAAAAAAGAAAATTAAAGATCCATTTGCTGTTTGACCTAAAAATTTCACTTCTAAGGAATTACCTTACAAAAGAATGAAGATATGTCATGTGCATGTACCAACCCCCTGCACTGAATGTGATCATTGTGTATCACAAATATGTACTAATAAAAAATATGCTTAAAAAAAAAGAAATTATCTTACGAATATGCTCCCGTAGGTGAGATATTAAATATGTATGAGAATATTCACTGTGCTGGAAGTGGAAGCCCTCCGAATTCCCAGCACGAGGGAACTGGTGTGACCACTGAACAGGAGGTTATGGAATCAGGGACAGTGACGGGATGGTCCTGCGCACAGTGGGATAAACCACTTTCCAGCATGGCGGGGGAGCAAAGTACAGAAGGGCAAAGGCAATGGTACACTTTGGGTAGAAACTGAACAGAAAGGTTATACAAGTAAGGGGTTGTAAGTGTACTAAATATCTCTGGGAGGAAACTGTAGAAACTCAGTCATACATGGCTTCCGTATGGCAGCTGTAGAGCTGGGCTTCAGACTTGTGGGAAGGAGGCAGACTTTCCACTACCTGCCCTTTTGGAAAGTTGTATGATGTGCACGGACATAGACTGAAATATTCATTCATTTAAAAATAAAAATCAGCCAGGCGTGGTGGCGCAGGCCTGTAATCCCAGCACTTGGGAGGCTGAGGCAGGAGGATCGTTGCAAGTTCCAGGTCAGCCTGGGCTACAAAGTGAGCTCCAGGCCAACCTGAACCACATAGCAAGACCTTATCTCAAAAAGACAAAAAAGAAAAAAAACCAAAAAACCAGAAATCAAGCTGGGATGTAGCTTAGTGTCAGAGCACTGGTCCATCATGGGCAGGGCCTGGGTCCAATCATTAGCATTGCAGAGAAGAAAAGAAAATGAACACCTGTAGATATTCACTCTCCCACATCATAACAGAAATGCAAATTAAAGCAAAGAGATTCTATTTTTCTTTTCTTTTCTTTTCTTTTTTTGAGTGTCTCACTTTGTAGTTCAGACTGATCCTGAACTCACTAGGTAGCCCAGGTTGTCCTGGAACTCTCAGCAGTCCTCCTGCCTCAGCCTCCTGAGTGCTGAGATTACAGGTGCACCACACCTGACTTTTTTTCACCCATCAGATTGGCCAGCAGTTTAGAGCTTGCTGTCAAATGCTGGCTCACTCTGGTCTTACCATACCTGCTGGTAGTAGAGAGCAATGTACAGGTAATTGCTGACCAAGCAACCCCATGACCCAGTCAGTTCCAAGCCAAAGGTAGAGCTGGGCCCCTGCCATCCTTATCTGATTATCAGCCGTGCAGCAGCAGTCGTCTCTATGTACAGGTGGAGTCCTAGCTGCTGATGCTGGTAGACTGGCCTTGGGGTCCAATTTCCACCCCACCCCCAAGATAGGGTCTTACTTTGTAGCTCAGGCTGGCCTTGAACTCACAATGGTCCTCCTGCCTCAGCCTCCTGAGTGCTGGAATTACAGGTGTGCACCACCAAGCTTGGCTTTTTTTTTTTTTTTTTTTTAAGTACCAGGATAATATCCTCATGCACTGCTTGTAGAGCTAAAAATTGAAATTTTTAGAAATGTTTTATAAACATGGTTCCTATAAAATATAAGGGAAGAGAAAAAGGGGAAATGAGAGGGAAAAATGTTTCTGTTGCCTAAGGTCCACTTTGACCTTTTAGCCACTTTTCCTCCGTCGTATTTTTAACGCATGACTTGCCCTTTGTGGTACTGAGAAAGAGCACAAAACTGTGTCTGACGTTTCCCACTAACTCCCTCCCTTGGCACTGATGGATGTGCACATCAGGAGCAGGAGGGCCGGGGAGACAGCACAGCGCCTGCCTGGCAAGAGCAAGGTCCTGAGTTCGATTTCGGATACAAAAAAAAAAAAGGAGTCACCTTTCACCCTCTCCCTTGCTGGGCTGGGCACTAAGGGAGGGTAGGCTGTGCGCTTCGGCTGCACACCAGCTCCTCAGCCTTGCCACTGTTGCCATTTTGACCAGAATAATTCTTATAAGCTGGGCGTGGTGGCACACGCCTGTAATCCCAGCATTTGGGAGGCTGAGGCAGGAGGATCGTTGCAAGTTCAAGACCAGCCTGACTATGAAGAATAATTCTTATGGTGCAGCTGTAGCTCTGGCCTAAAGTCCCATCAATGGGATTGCTGGGTCAAGGACCAAGTGCCTTTATACTTCTATCTCACGTGTTGATATTTTTCCTGTTTCCTGACTAGTGTGGAAGCTCTCCGAGAGAACAATTCATGAGCTTTTGTTACTGGGTCCCCAGTGCTTCAAGCAAAGCCTGTCTTCAAGTAAATAGTAAGTCCCTGTTGAATGGATGAATCCCCTTTCCAGAAGCCTGAATATGTGCTCTTAACTCATCTCTTTCCCAGCCTCAGGGATATGGATTCCTAGAGATCTTTGAAGGTAGCAGAACCTGGTCTGGTTCCATTGCCTCTTCCAAAACCCTCAGCATTTTCTTCTTTTTAGATAGGGTTTTGCTATGTAGTCAGGCTGGCCTTGAATATACTGTGAATTCACTGGTCTCAAACCCATGGGGATCCTCCCGCCTCAGCCTCCTGAGTACTGGGATCATAGACATGTACCACCATGCCTGGATTCCTGAGCCTTTTTTTGTCCATAGATACAGGGGTGCTATTCTAAAGCCTGATTGTTCTCTGCCTCCCCCTTACTTACTTCACCCTGGAAGGCATTAAAAGCTTTTTTTTTTGTTAGCCAGGCATAGTAATTCATTCCTGTAATCCCAGCAAGTTGGAGCCTGAGGCAAGAGGATCACAAGTTCAAGGGCGGCCTGAACTGCATATTGAGACCCTGTCTCAAAAAAAAAAAAAAAAAAAAGGAAGGTATCATTTCTCTTCTAAATTCCCTTCCTCACTATTAGTTTCTTCTTTCCTAAACATGTACAAAATCACCAAACACTTGAAGCTTTATCAGGTGGCAGAGAACGTGGGTTAGTTTTCTAAACAAAAATTCCTTCATGGAGCAAGTGGTGATTTTGAGCTAGGCCCTGTGCCAACAAGGAGATTAGAGCGGTGACAGAAACTGCCCCTGTGGTGGAGGGAGGTCCTTGTTCTGGGGAAGACAGCACCAGGCCCAGTTCCCTGTGGCCAGGGGCTCCTGGGCTCCGCCTAGAGCCCAAGGTTTTTGGTGCAGAGTCCCTCAGAAATGAGCTGGTTAGGATGAATTCGTCGGACATCTGGGGCAGCGGAGAGAGTGACCTGAATAACTGATTTTCCCTCACTTGTCAAAGGACTGTGTGGTTAGCTGCCTGGCTGGCTTTGGGGTTCCTGTTTCTGGGTGTGTCTGTTGATAATTGTCTGAGTCACCTGTTTAACTGCAGGAAACGTGGCCGTTCTGATTCCAGGCATTCCTCTCTCTGCACCTTAGTGAGCGTCCACATCAGCCTTTGGGCTTCCAGACTGCGTGCAAATGAAGAGGAAGGAAAAGAGCCCAAAATTTGGAGCAGAGGGATCTGGATTCAGGTTCTGACCTGACAGCTCATGGCTATGAAGTCTTGGACAGCTCAGACTAAAGCTCCCTTCTTCTCTTGTTTCATTCCTGCCTGTTCTTCTCCCCCTCCTACCCCCGTAACCAACAACCCCAATAAAGAGAAGGAGGGAGTAAAGTCCAGAGCTCGGACTGAGGGCTGGGCAGGCGGCAGCGTCCTCAGCAGCAGTCTGTGAGCACCAAGCTGGGCCACCTGCTTCATTCTCATGGGCAAGTGGGTTCTCGAGCAAAGCCTGGGGTCCCGGGTTGAAGGTTATTTCTGAGGCTCTTTTGTGGCTACAACTCGCACTTTTAGATTACGACCTAAGCTTCCAGGACTCTCAGCTGGGTGTGGTCACACACACCTATCATTCCAGCACTGGGGGCGCGGGGAGGCAGAACTGTAAATTGGAGAGCTTGGACAATTTAGCAATTTAGCAAGATCCCGTCTCAAAATAGAAAAAATAAAAATTAAAAGACGGAGAAATGGCCCTGGGTTCAGTCCCCAGTACCACAGAGGGGAAAAAAAAAATCCTTTCAGGACTTTCTGAGACACCCAGATATAAATCAGAACACTGAGTATCTTTAATCTCGTCTGGCACTCAAGTATCTGTAGCATGTGTAACCAGGGGAGCTCTTAATAAACTTAGGTAAACGGAAAAGTACAGAGGATTTCTAGACATTGCACACCTGCCTCAGGGTTTATGTTGGAATAGGGGATCTCAGATTTTTATATTGACTGGACCACCAAGGAAAGATCCTCTAAGATCTAAATATAGAAAACTGGAATTTTTTTTTGAAACAGGGTCTCACTCTGTAATTCAGGCTGGCCTTGAATTCACTATATAGCCCAGGCTGGCCTTGTCTTACAGCAATCTCCTTCTGCAGCCTCTCAACTACAGTGGTACCTTGGTTCATAAACTTAATTCTTTCCATAACTCTGGTGGCAAACCAGATTGGACAAGAATCTAATCAAATTCAATGGTTAGGTTCAGTGTTGGATTTCTGGGGAAATTTGATTTGGTTCTCATCCAGTTTGGTTTGCCACCAGAATTGTGGAAGGAAGCTGGGCATGGTGGTGCACGCCTATAATCCCATTACTCAGGAGGCTGAAGCAGGAGGATCACTGTGAGTTCGAGGCCAACCTGAGCTACATAGCAAGAACCTATCTCGAAAAAAAAAAATTAAATTTGTGAACAGAGGTACCACTTACTGGTGTATACTTCCAACTAGGCTTTGAGATTCTTTTCTGTTTTGTTTTGGTACCAGGAATAGAACTCAGGACCTTGCACTTGCCAGGCAGGTGCTTGTGCCACTGAGCTATATCCCCAGCCCATGATTCTTCTGACTCTAAAGAAACTGAAGATTTGCAGCAGGCCATGGTAGTACATGCCTATAATCCCAGGACTCAGGAAGATTGCTTTGAGCTGGAGGCCAGCTTGAGCTACAAAGCGAGACCCTCTCTCAAAAGCAAACAAACAAGCAAAACTGAGAAAAACCCTGAGAATTTGGGAGAGGTTGAAGCAGCCTGAATTTGAAGACTATCCAGTGGTCATTTCAGGAGATGACGGTGACTGAGACAGTGGACTCAGCTACAAAGTAAGTTCAAGACCAACCTGGACTACATAGCGAGACACTGTCTAAAAAAATAAAGAAATTAAAGAAAGCACACATATAACATTTAGGGGAGATATGAAAAGTCAACTTGTTATGTGAGACTGACAAGATCTTTTTTTTGTCTTCTTGAGACAGGGTCTCGCTATGCAGTTCAGGCTGGCCTTGTGCTCACTTTGTAGCCCAGGCTAGTCTGGAATTCACAACGATCCTCCTGCCTCAGCTTCCCGAGTGCTGGGATTACAGGTGTGCGCCACCACGCCCGGCATGACAAGATCTTGATAACTGTGCAACTGAGTGATGTGTACCTAGAATTTTATTTTGCTATTTTTTCCACTTCTACATATGTCTGATTTTTTCATAATAAAGTAAAATGAGGCCAGTAAAATTGACTGTTTCCAATGTTCAGATCAAATACTTTTCTTTTCCTTGTACTAACTGATGGAAATTTGCTACATTTTCATACTTGAATCACAATTTTATATCAGAGTTTTATGTTTTTCCTGGAGGTTCTTGGCACTCTCCCCATTCTTTTTTGAGAGAAAAAACAGGTGCCTTTTGGACCTATGACTAAGAGCTTCTGGTTTTGTGATTGTATCATCTACTGCCTGGAATTCACTTTTTTTCCCCTTAAAGACATTATTACAGGAAACTTCTGTTTTCTTGTTGCAATTTAAATCAGATACTTCTGGGAAACAGTTCTCACTGCAGGGTTACTTTTTACTGTGTGTCTGGATTCCTTATATTGTTTCTTGATAACTATGGTCTTAGGTCAGGCCCTAGAAACAGAGCCTGAGTACATTAGTCTGTTTTCTGTTACTGTAACAAAATACCTGAGAATGGTTTATGAAGTGCTGAGTGTGGTGGTGCATACCTATAATCCTAGTATTTGACAGGCTGAGGCAGGAGGATTGTAGTGAGTTAAGAGGCCAGCTTGGGCTACATAGAGAGGTCAAGGCCAGCCTGAACTATAGCAAGACCCTGTCTCAAAAAAAGAAAGAAAAGAAAACAGGTTTACCTAGCTCATAGTCTGGGAGTTCAAGGGTATGGTACCAGCATCAGCTTGGCTCTGGCAAAAACTGCATAGCAGATGGTGTCAAGTGGCAGGAGCTCTTATAAGAGGCAGAGATCACATGGGAAAACAGGAAACCAAAGAGTGAATTAGTCTCAGGCTTTCTTAACATCTCACTCTTTTTTTTTTTTTTTTTTTTCTTCTTTTCTTGTCTTTTTGAGACAGGGTCTCACTATGCAGTTCAGGCTGGCCTTGAGCTCACTTTGTAGCCTAGGCTGGTCTGGAACTCACAAGGATCCTCCTGCCTCAGCCTCCCCAGTGCTGGGATTACAGGAGTGTGCCAGGACGCCCAGGTCTAACAACTCATTTTTTTGAGAACTAATGTAGCATCCACGCAAACTTCCTTAGTCTCTTCTAAGGGCAGTGTCCCTAGTGATCCAATCACCTTCCACTGGGCCCCACCACCTCCCAAGATCACCACAGGAGGGGCACAGCTTCTAACATGTGAGCCTTTGAGGGACAATCTCAAACCAAACAGACCGGGATCCTGGCGAAAAGGATCCGCTGAGGAAGTAGTCTCTGGAGAAGAGTGAAGGAAGTGGGCTAAGCAGGGAAGGAAACTAAATAAGGAAATAGTTTTGGCCGGAGATGAGCTTCACTGAGGCAGGTGCCGCCCTGAGGGAGGCCAGCGGACCGTGAGTGTACTGGTGTCGGCGATTTGAGCAGAGCCCCTGTACTGTCCGCAAGCTAGCGGAGCCGGCAGGCACCGCATTCGCCCGCAGCGCTCGTTGAAACACTTCAGGGCCCACTGCCAGGGTTTCTGATTCAGCAGGTCAGCGCGGGGCCTGAGCACTAGCGCTTCTCACGTGTTCCGGATGCCGCTCCGGGAACCAGCCTCTGAGCCGCAAAGCACTATCATCCCCCACAATTCCCTTTTGCCCCGAGAGCACAAGTTCAAATAAATTTTTCAGCAGGAGCGCATGAGATGTAAACTGTTAGCCCTTACCAGTCTATTTCGCCTCTACACTTATTCTGCAGCGTAGCTGTCCACAATCATCTTCCCTCTGAGTTTCGCAGGCCGCTGTTCAATAGCTTCTAGCTGCTGAGAGGCTTGAGGCTAGTTTGATCTTTATTCCCTTAGAAGAATCTGTTTGCTTGTTTTAATTTCTAGACTCTGTTAGACTTTTTGAAACCTCCTAAATCCCTGGAGATGTTTTATATTTTCTTTGATTCTACTCAGCAATTAGAGGGTAATTTTAAAAAATTAATTTAAGTTTACCGGTACATTTTAGGTATGCATAATGATCATATTCATCATAGAGAATTTGTACCTATATTTGCTATAACTGGATGCGTTTTTTTGTCATTCTCCTACCGTCCCTTCAACCCTTCTTTCCCTCCTTACTTACAAAACCTTTGTTTCCATTTTTTTCCTTCTTTTCTTATTTTTTTCTATCCTCTCAACCACAGTTCCTCTTGAGAAACTGAAAGTGTAAATAAGGACCAAAATGTATAATAGATATTGTGAAATATGAAGAAAATGTTAAAAGGTAATTTTAATCTAAACACTTTTTTTTTTTGATGCTCTGGGAGATTTTCTTCTATTATTTCTTTAACTATTTTCTTGCCTCTTTTTTCTCTATGGAATTTTCATTAGCTAAATGTTAAACTGGCCTTTTATGACTCAGTTGTTTCCCTCCACCTTTGTTTAAAACAATTTTTTGGTCTGTATTCTTAGAATTAAATGATTTTCACTCCCAGATTTTTTTAAAGTGATTTTTAGATTTTGGAATAATTTTAGATTTGTAGAAAGGTTTCCACATATACTTGATTCGATTTCCTCTCATGCTACTTTCAATGTTATACACATTACTATTAACTAATGTCCACATTTTATTTAGATTACACTAGTTTTTCTACTAACATCCTCTTTTCTGTTTCGGAACCAGTCCAGTACATGTATATCACTAGACTTAGTCCTTATGTCTCCTTAGGATCTCCTGTGACAGTTTCTGTCTTGCCTTGTTTTTTGTTTTAGCGCTTTAAAATTACTGTGCCGTTTTGAAAAGTGTTATCTGAGTATTTTGTAAAATGCCCCTCAATTTGGAATTTTTCTCAAGATGATGCTGGGGTTAGGTGTTGGTGGGGCAAATGGCACAAAGGGGAAGAACCTGATACATCGCCCTGTGTCAGCTCCTGACGGTAACTTCTATCAACAATTAAAGCTGTCATTGTCAGATATCTTTACTCTAGAATTACTATGTGTTCCTTTTCCATACAGCGTTCTTGGAAGTGAGTCACTGAATTCTGCACACACTGAAGGGCAGAGGGCCAATTAAGCTCAATTTGGAGGGGAGAGGATTCACAAAGATCAGCTGGTATTCTTTTGGAAGGAAGATTTGTGTCTTCTCCTCCATCTAGTTACTTAACTATTTATTTGTAGATGAAAAAGGATTGATTTTAAAGTCAAAGTGTAGTACACAGGGATAAAGCCAGAATCTCTAGTTCTTTATGTTTAAAATGACAAGGCTTTCCTTACAATATTAATCTGTAGTAAAATATACAAAAGGACTATCTTGAAGAACAAAGGTTTCACTTTTATCAGAATAATTTATTCTTTTTTGCTTTTGTTTGTTTGATTTTATTTTTTGAGACAAGGCAGTTTTTGAGACAAGGTAATTTGAGTCTGTGATTCAGGCTGGCCTTGAACTTACTAAGTAGCCCAGGCTGTCCATGAACTCATGGAAATCCTTCTGCCTCAGCCTCTGGAGTGCTGGGATTACAGGCATGCGCCACTATAGCCAGTTTTCACTAGGCTTTGCTTGCTTAGAGAAATTGAACCTTAGAGAGTTAGGGTTTACTTAGGGATCTGCATAGTCTTTAATTTCGTTTTACTAGTCTGTGTTTTCAGTACATAATGATTGCATCCACTGTGAGGAGTCTGTATACAATAACCATTTATTTAAGTCAGCGTGAACTCACACTTATTTTGTATTTTGCGTTATAATCCACTAAAACATTATTCATGTTGTTGGTCAAACTTTTCCAGCTTTGGTTGTTTCAAGCTGGCTCCAACAGCCCACTGATACCTCAGGCTAATTTTTTTTTTTTTTAATGAGATAGGGTCTCACTATGTAGTTCATTTTTTTTTTCTCTATGTAGTTCAGACTGGCTTTAAACTCACTTTGTAGCCCAGGCTGGCCTCAAACACATGATGATCCTCCTGCCTCAGCCTCCCAAGTGCTGGGATTGCAA